GAATTCAATTAATTTTTTATTCTACACTAAAAACTCAAAGATGATTTTTTTTGGATTGATCAAAAAAAAAATTTATATTCTTAATATGTTGGTAAAAAATACAAATTATAATCCAATGTCAATAAAAATAAGAGGAATCAAATCATTTTGCATTCATTATCAATTTTTAAATTGATTATTTTATATTTATAAGTCAAGATTAATATCTAACATTATTTAACGATTATGCAAATGTATTAAGAAGAACAAAAAAAATTGGATTTAACTTTTCAATGGATAAGCTATCAATGTAATTCAATCATTGGTTATCTAATATCTCGATAAAACAAAGTGTGGGCAATATTTACTCTATATTTATCTTTTATCATTTTAATTCTTAAAACTTGTTTTTAACTCTTTAAAGAAATTATTAATTGGAATTTTTTTTTATAAATCTTCATTCTATCTTAATCTCTATTTAAGAAAAAAAACACACACACACACACACGAGTACAATTTTACTTTAAATTTGTTTTGTCAATCACATAGTGATTATTGTCACAAAATCTCGTATATAAAAATTATTAAACTTATTCTCACAAGGAATGAAGCTTCTTTAGTGAGGGCCAGCTACAGCCTTATTGAATTTAAAACTACTATTCAATTTATAATAAAGTTTATGAAATGTAAAGATATTATTTTTCCTTTTTTATAAATAATTATTAAAATACGAAAAAAATAAATTTTAAGAAAAATAATTCAAAATTTCTTTTTTATTAAAAATTTTAATTTTCATATTTTGGAATGAGAAATCTTATTACAGGGTGGTAGGCGGAGGGTGGTGAAAACTAAAAAATCAACTTCACCTCTTTTTTCATTCTCCCAGCTGTAAAAAAATTAAAAAAAATAAAATAAAATAACCGTCAAAGGTCGACCCCCACGTTCTCACAAACCAATAACAATATATTTTATTTATTTTTCTAAAAAAATAAAAGCATTGACGGTCAACTGCCAGCGTGGCAGGCCGAAGCTCCAAGGGAATCTCTGCTCCCCACCACTTGTCGCGTTCCCATTGGACCACCCCCTCTTTCTCTCTTTGACACTCCCCATTTTTTAACGAAAATTAAAAAATAATAATAAAAAAAAGGCAGCCCTATTGCTCTCTTCACTCCCCTATAATAATTTTCCTTCCCTTTCTCATTTCCATCGACGAATCGAAAGAACAAAAAATCTTCAGGAGAAAAAGTTCTCGATCGGTACGTTTTTTTGGATCGATTTTATCTTTTAGTATTTTATTGAATTTTTTAAAATTTATTTCTTTACTTTGAGATCTGTAAGTTCTCATTTCTTTGATTTATCTTTCTGATTTTTTTTTTGCTTCTTGGTTAATGCAATGACTGGTTTTTAGCTGCCTTCTGTGTGATTTTAGTGGCTTTGATTCGATCTGTTTGAGATTTGAGCTTTTTATTGCTTGATTTGACTAATTTAGGTTTTCTTGCTTCGATCTCTTTGGCTCCTAGAAATTTGGGAAAAAGGAACGTTTTTGTTGTTTTGATTTAGGGTTTTGATTTCTCAGATTTGGACTAGAAAATTTTACTAACCAAAAGAAAAAAAGAGTTATGAATTTGATCTGTTTGGTTACTGAGAAACTTGTTGAAAGGAAAGGAAAGGATAGGAGCTAGTGCTAATGATTTATCTACCTCAAAATTTGGTTCTTTTTTCAATTATAATGATATTTTAAGTTGTATCTCTTTTGGTTGGGACTAATTAGATTGGATCTAAAAGTTTGAAATTTTGGAAGAATCAAAGAACTAAAAATTAAAGACTGTTCATGTTTGATTGAGGAATGAAAATTTCTCAATTGGTTGTTCTTGATGTCAATGCACTTGTTCAGACTGATGAAATTTCAATTGCAAATGTTTGTTTAATAAAAGTAAATCTTGTTATGTCACAGGACTAAATATTAGATTGATATAGTAAAGATGTCACCAACTGAATCATCACGAGAGGAAAATGTGTACATGGCCAAGTTGGCTGAGCAGGCCGAACGCTATGAGGAAATGGTGGAGTTCATGGAGAAAGTTGCAAAAACCGTTGATGTTGAGGAGCTAACTGTCGAGGAACGAAACCTTCTCTCTGTAGCATACAAAAATGTGATCGGGGCTAGGAGGGCTTCATGGAGGATCATCTCTTCCATTGAGCAGAAGGAAGAGAGCAGAGGAAATGAGGATCATGTTGCAATCATCAAGGAGTATAGGGGCAAGATTGAAGCTGAGCTCAGCAAGATTTGTGATGGCATTTTGAGCCTTCTTGAGTCTCACCTCATTCCTTCAGCTTCATCTGCTGAGTCCAAGGTGTTTTACCTTAAGATGAAGGGTGATTATCACAGGTATCTTGCTGAGTTTAAGACTAGCGCTGAGAGGAAAGAAGCTGCTGAGAGCACTTTGTTGGCTTACAAGTCTGCCCAGGTTAGTGAAGTGATGTCATCTTGTCAATATGAGTTATTTTCTCTGTAATTTCTTGAGGGCCTTTTTGAGTAAAAAAATTCAGATAGAATTTTGTAGCTGTTTTTTTAATTATTTTGTTTATGATGGCAGGATATTGCTCTTGCTGAACTTGCTCCTACTCACCCAATCAGGCTGGGACTTGCTCTTAACTTCTCTGTCTTCTACTATGAAATCCTCAACTCACCTGATCGTGCTTGCAATCTTGCTAAACAGGTGTTTATCGCCTACTGCTTTTCTATTGATTTCTTGTGTATTTCTGTATTTCTTGAGTTCGGATAGTTAATGAGTTAAGATAGGGGGTTTTAGTTGTCTGTTGTTCGACTGTCTTGGTGTGGTCCTCGTTTTGGATGGTATGGTAAATTGATCTAATCTAGTCGTCCCCCCAACTGGCCCCACTTGTGACAGCAACTATCCTTGTCTAAGTAAGTGGCTGGCCTGAGGACTCAACCTGTTAACACCTGAAAATTTCTATGCCAATCTGGTTGATACTCAGAATGGTACACAACTTAAGCTTATTTTGAAGAAGTTTGAAGGGATGACTGTATATCTGCTCCTTTTGCTCATGAAATCTTTGGTAAATGATTGAATCAAGTAAATGTTTTGTAGCATGTTAGTGATTGTTCTTCTCGATGTGAAGTCTGGTGATCTTTAAATTGTTATCCACTTAGCTGAGATTTATTAATTTACTTCTAACCATGCAAGGCTTGTAGATTAGGTTGTTCTTATGTACACTTATTGAATGTCCAAGGTTGCTTGTCATCTATTATAAAATGACAAATGTTTTTCATTTTACAGGCTTTTGATGAGGCTATTTCTGAGTTGGATACATTGGGTGAGGAATCTTACAAGGATAGTACATTGATCATGCAACTTCTCCGGGATAATCTGACCCTTTGGACATCTGACATCACGGTCTCTCTCTCTCTCCCTCTTGCATATGTGTGTTTATATGTGTATGTGTAACTATGAAAATGTTAGAGCAGCTTGCTGTTTTTGGACATCAAATAAATATTTTCTTTTAAAATTGTCACAATTTGGACTGATAAGTTGTTGGTGCAACCTTTGCCGGTGGGGTGCTATGCTCGTTCCACACTCAACCTGGAATGAACAAGTGTCTAAAGCTATTCTTGAAATGAAGCTTTATCCGTCTGTTATTGTGACCATAGTTCTCTAGCATTGCCTTTTACACTTTTAGGCATTTAATCTCATCAGAGAAGTGTCAGCAGTAGAATCCCAAAGTTTTAAGTAATCTTTAAGACCATTCCTTCTTCTTACTGGGTTGAAAATATTCTGTGCTCAGTCTACAAGCCATAACACATTTCACCTTATTCCTGAAGTTATGCTGTTTAACTTGGGACTTTGTATTACTCATGTTGTACTTTCATTGATCTAAGCTGCACTAAGCATGCTGATTTGCATCTTCCTTTTTAAATGATGCTGAGTTTTCTCAGGTTATTGTTTGGATGTTTCATTGTTCAATGCTTGATGTGTGTGTGTGTGTGTGTGTGTGTTTTTTTTCTCTTAATTTTAGGATGAAGCTGGGGATGAGATCAAGGAAGCTTCAAAACGTGAGTCAGGCGAGGGACAGCCGTGATGAGCTAAGTTCATAGGATATGTACTCTGTACTTTTATCTTGCAGGTTTTACATAGGTGCAACATGGGTCGTAGAAGGTGTTTTTTAATGCATTCATCAACACTTGGAGTTGAAAAGTTCCAATGGATTATATATGTGCTTTTATTATCGGACAAGAAGAATTTGGTTTGGTTTTTTCATGTGGTAATGTTAAAATAGTGCGTTTGGCAAATCAAGTTGAGCATATGAGGTGCTTTGAATGTTTATTCCTCCCTGTTTAAAACAATCATATTCTTGTTGCTTTCATTTGCGGAGGGATTTTTCATGCACTGGAAACTGGAAAGTGTTTGTTTTGTTTGTCTTGTTCATTCAAAAAGCATAGCCAGTATAGTTCTCCGTTGCATTAGGTGTCTGTTTTTATGTAGAGACATTTGGGGAAGAAACGATTGCAGTAAAATGATAAGATGGCAGAGTGATTGCTGACAAATCTGTGAGTGGCACAGCTTAAGGTTTATCGTTACTTTTCAGGGCCACAGGTCCATTGCTATGGGAAAACGTAGCCTCCGGTCCCACTCTTTGGAAAGCGGTTTTTTAACGAGAATGTTTTAACTGTTTCCAAAGTCTGAAAGGAGTCTATTTTCCACTTATATGCAGGGGATCGTTTTTCAGCTTTTTGAAAAATCTGTATTGATCAATGTAAAATATCTTAATACTACAAAGATTATATCATTATAATGAATTAATTTTACTAAAATATTATAATTTTTAATTAATGCAAAATAATTAAAGTCAATTAAAAGAAAAGGTTTATATAGCATAAAATAAAATTCACACATAAAAATCTTTCCTTCTTTCGATTTCGACTGTGATTTATTGACTTAAAAATCTAATCAGAAAAACAATGTGGTGAGAAATAAATAAATAAAAAATTATATATCATTTGTATTATAATTTTATATTATGGTAAAAATATTTTTTAAGTGTATACATCTCCTACTCCAAACATCTGAATCTCATGAACACATGCTTCATGATGACGTTTTGTGAAAGATACCATTCTCTAGTTTATGGCTTAGATTCATCAGTCTTCCATTCTACTATGGCAAGAGTATGGCGCCCTCCACAAGCAACAAGTTTAGAGATCCAACGTCCCTCAGCTCCACTGCCATTAACATTTTTGGAGCCGACAGATTGACAGGCACCTCCATTGGTTGACCTGTTGTTACCTTCCTCCCATATCCAAGGCGTCCATGGTCACCTCGTCCAAACTGCCAATAACAAACCAGTCAGCATTATTTGATATTTTGAACTGTTCTAACATAAAAGCAATGAATCTCTTATTCAAAGATGAAGATGGTTGTATTGTCTCTTCATATATGCCTGCCATGGCTTGGGTTAGGGGCACACAAGTATGAGGGAGGGGAAAATGTCCAGCAGTATTGGCAGAATATTTGTACAGTTAAATCGTGGGAACACTAAGCACACAAGCACAATAGTCTTATCTTCTATTTAAGAGTCATTTTTTAAAAAAATTTATCACTGTTTTCACTTTGATACTTACATATCCACAAAAATCCTAATAGCTATCGCACTAACCCTTCGGAAGACCAGCAAAGGAAATACTAATAAAGCTTAGCCATGGTCCATTAGAAAAGTGGCCACTAGCTGCAACTCTAACCTTTAGTTCATCCTAAAAATAGAAAAGGCCCTATTCAGCCATTCATGGTAGACCCACCCTTACCAATGCAGGGGAGGTCCAAAACTTGTTGAAGACGGACTTTTTTGTCATCCCTACTTCCCATCAAAGAAAGACCAAAATAATTTTGACTCTTTAGGATTAGGGTTTAGGGTTTTTTAAATAAAGCCTGGAGATTTTAAGTTGGTAAATTCTCTCACAATTCAACAGATGAAAACTACATAAAAAAAACAAATCCCGTCAACCAAAATTTCAGTATACATCAGCTAACCCAATTTTTTTCAGCTATACTTTCAACCCTGACTCATCTTCAGCTTTGTGAGCTTAAACCAAAAGCAAACTGCAAAAAATTTAAGAAAGGGTGAGGCTACGAGGGAGGGTAGTTAGTGGCATTACCCTGAAAAGTTGAGGGATGGCCCAAGAATGAATAAAGGGATTGAGGGAAGAGAGGGAGAGAGGGCAAGGTAAGGAAATAAAGTTCTAATCTGGAATTGGATCGTAGTTTTCCCAAAGTTTTTAATATGCTTTCCTTTGAGTGGAAAATCCTTTTGCTCACCATGGCTTTTTAACTACCAAAACACCAGCAAGGGGTCAAGATTCAAACTAAGTCGACCCCAAAAGTGACTAAACGTCATTCTTGAAACTTAGTATCCACTGGCCTTTCAGTTTCCTTCATTAAGGCTTGAGTCTTATTTTTTTTTTTTTTTTTGGAGAATGTAGAATTTGAATACTGCTCTTAAGCAAGGGATCATGCACCAACCACTAAGCCAAATGCTCAAGTGCCGTTAAGTTGGCTATATTAGTTAAATTTAGGTCTATAACAGAGATGATGTGAACCCATACCCTGTGATGAAGTCTTGTCTATTTTGTACGCAGATTCAGGGAGATAATTTCTTGGAGGATAGCTGGATAAGTGATCTCTATATTTGACAAAGAAATGGGCCCCATGAAGTTCAATTCAATTTTATAGATGGGTGGAAAAGATGGTTCAGCCAATTATCCTTCAATATAAAAGATAAAACAGGCGAAACTAAAATTATGAAGTAAGTGTCAAGAAGTGTCTATTTGTCTGGAAGTAAGTTCAATTCATTTTGAGGTAACTTACATCATTCAAAGACTGCCTCTGAAAGTAACAGTCTATGTGCAAACCTAAAAACTTGGAGACAAGAAGTGTTTGCCTCCGCTACACAGGGATGCGCGGGATTCAATCTAATATTTTGCAATCATTATCAACAGATCATATGACATACATTGCTTTTCGCAGGCAAAGAAACAGAACAAGACATGTTAAATATACTTACCGAAAAGATGCACCCATCACGTGTCAATGCAACAGAGTGAGTTCCACCACAGGACACCTGGATCAGAAATACATGATTCAACCACAAGCCACATCAAGAAACAAGTATATTTGAAGTGCTTATTATTCCATGAAATCAAATCGCACATATTTAAAACAATCAAAAGCATTTCATGTACTTCTTCCATACTAGCAGTTTATTATTTATAATAAACGGAAATCCATCCATCAGAACCAAAATTATATCTGTCACCACATCTTTAACTTACAGGTATATCTTTTAAACTCACCTAAATCAAGCCAAGCTGATGGAATGCTAAAATTTGAATAAGCAAGTACAACGTACCTGTTTCACCAAAAAACAAAATGCAATACCTGTACAATGTCTTCACTGGCTACAAGATGAACCCTCTGTGGCACCATTTTACTGCTCTTGTCATTATCCCCAAACCCAAGCCTCCCATGTTCCCCTCTTCCCCAACCATACACCTATAATTAAAGACACAAAAAGAATATCATAATAAAATAATTTAACAAAGAAGCAGGCATATAATCTCCATCCTTTGTAGCCAAAAGAGGCTCAGTGCTGTTTCGCATGATTGAAACTTCTTCTATAACAAGAATTTTGGAAAATTAAAACAAGACAAATCTCCGGATTAAACTTGACATGTCTTCTATTTAATTTCTCTAGGGGAAATGCACAAGGTGTAATTTAATCTCACTCCACTGGGGCACAAAAAGTTTTAATGGATATGATATTGCTCTTGAAAAAGGTTCTAACAGATCTGATTTGCTATTGTAAAATTTAAGCCCTTTCAAAGGCTATTTGGCAATTCCATGCAGAAGATTTATCAAATTTCATCTAAATAATTAAAGTCAAAAATGAAGAAACCATTCAAATGGAAAATACCTCCAGATTGAGCAAATAAAAGTCTTAAGTACCGCAACTCATGCATCTTAATTGAATGCAGAATAATTCATGCATCTTACGCACTAAAGAAATACTCTTCCAACAACTTCTTTTCAATTAATTAACACCTAAATCCTGCAGAAGAGACCACCTATCAGAGCTGCTAACTGCTAGAACACCATAAGCCAAATATACTACGTAAACGATCAATAATGAATCTATACAACTATTGTCATCTCAAGGCTTAATTATGCTGGGGAAAGATAAGGTCCTAAAATAGGCTGCGAATGTTTCATATTCTAAAAAGGCCATCCATGCAACAATCTCTTGCATGTTAAGTGTACCCCAACTATTGACTGCACTGCAGAATACATGCAAGCATGCAGAACGTGATTAAAGTACACATAGAAAGGAGTATCTTCTCCAAATTAGAAAGGATAAATACCTCTCCATCATCAGTCAATGCAGTAGAATGCCATCCACCAGCTGCAATATCAACCTAGATGTGCATACAAATAAAAGGCTAATCAGACTATCAATAAACATTATACACAGCCAAAACTAGCAAAAGAAGAAAAGCTCAAGCTATCAATAAACATTATACACAGCCAAAACTAGCAAAAGAAGAAAGGCTCAAGCTATCAATAAAACCGCAGGACCAATATACAGTGGAAAGTAAAAGTGAAGAATGAATGCAGAAAGGAAAAAGAAGGAAAAAGACGAAAGAAAAGCAAGCAATGGATGTTATTATGATTTCATCTGCTAATTGAATTTCTTAAACAAATAAACAAGAGAATGAGATTGACCGCATATTTTTAAAAGCACCAAACCTAAAAGTAATAGTTGAGACCTAAGAGATCCAACATTAGTATAAAGCTACAACAAAACCCAAAACTGAACCACTGGAATAATACAGCAAAACACCTTCCCAGGCCTTGTGCCAATACTTCCAATCCTCCAACTGGTTAAAATGTTTTCCATAATTGTAAATGTTTTTATTCCAAATACTAGAAATATTCCTTTTCAAGAAAAGAAAAAGAAAAGGAGTTTCTTGTGATTGATAACAATACCAAGAGGATTTTCTTTATTGGTTATGACTTATAAGTTTTCATAAGCCATACATGAAGATGAAATTGAGTTTTCTAAATACATTTTGCTAACAATCAACAACTAAATAAAATAAATACTGATAAATTGTACAGAACTTAAAAATGTAATGCATACCAAAGTGAGACCAGATAGCCCTTGGACAAGTATAGGTTGCGATCTTGGTTGAGTATCCCCAGTTCCAAGTTGTCCATATTCATTATTACCCCATGCCCACAAAGTCCCATCCTCCTGGAGAGCCAAATTATGAAATGCTCCCACTGCAATAAGTCTCACATTTTCAAGACCTTGTACTCTCACAGGAACAGATATTTGTGTTCTGAGAAAGGGGAAATAAAAATTTGCATTAATGAAATAACATAAGCTTAGAGTATGCAGCAAGCTATCAAGATGAGTTAACCTCACTCCACAAAGATGACCACATAGGCAGGGACGCTCCTAGAATTAAAAAACGAAATAGGAATTGAAAAACTCAAACCAACGGTGACATACATGTCTCCAGGAGGCCAAGGCTGACCCCAGGTCCACACGTGTCCTTCACGAGTAAGCACTACAGAGTGAGTACCCCCAGCAGCTACCTATAATATAATCAACAAAATAAATATTAAACACAAATATAGGTTAAGCTCCACCACTGAAAACATGCATCATATCTGGAAACACATAGTTGAGGTCAGGAAAATGAAAATTTTCAAACCATATGGCAAGTAAGACTAATAATGCGAACAATGAAATGCTGTAAAATGCAACATGCATTATTAGAAATCAAAAGAGACCCGAGGACTAGACAGCCCTGTCAAATTACATATGTACCAAAAAAGCCCATCATTTACTGAAATAGTTATTCACAAGACAGCACCAAAAGACTTCGCTTAGGCACACTAAAAAGGTTCAAACCTCATATAAGCAATCATAAAAAAATAATAATAATAATAAGCTAATTGTAATGTGAGAAAAAATAAGTACAGTTAAGTTTTCTAAATTTTATCTGTATCAAGAACCAGTACATAAATTAAAGGTAACTAAAATTGAGGGAGATGGGAGAACCAAAGGAGACAGTTCCAGACATTAATGTTTCAGAGTTTTGATGCAAAACAATGACGTGCAAGATGAAAGAAGCCACCCGATCTGACTTTTAGCAATTAGACAAAAGGGACTGCACTAGTAAAGGGAAGGAATATAAAGTGCAGCAGATTGCTCATAACTTATCCTTATTTAGTGGTTGCACAAAATCTACTATGGTTATTGGTTTCCTTGATCTGCTTTCTTTCTTCTCCCTCCCCTACTTTGCCCCCATTACCTTCGATTTAAACAAAACAACTAGCGACATAATGACATTAATTACCACATACTAAAATTATGTAACAAAAAACTAGCAGATATTAACATTTTACTCTGTTTAAAGTTGTTGAACCTACTTTTTTTTTGGTTACTCTGCTGGTAAAAGCATCTTGGTTGAAGATGCTTTGCCAACAACAAAGTTTTTGAACATGATAATTAGACTTGATCCTTAGGTTTTGGGGTTTAAAAAGCCTTCTCTAGCATAGCTTCAAAAAGAACAAACTAGCTTAGTTGTTAAGATCATGCCCCCAAAAGAGGGCCTTAACTATAGTCAAACAGGTTACTGAGAAACAAAAGCAAGAGGATTCACGCAATCTGGTTTAACTTCAACAAAAAAGTACAGACATAGATTCAAGTAAACCTGGCGAACTACAAGCTTTGGGGCACAGCGTTGAGGATTCACAATGTCCCTTCTCAAAGGCCTACCAGTGCCATCTTTCCGCTCGGGTTCTTCACCACACTGGCCATATTCATTCCCACCTGCACCAAACACACTTCACGTAATTACATTCGTCAAACACACTTCAGCTTATTGCATTCATCACAATGAACAATTCAATCTAACATCTCCTGAACCATACACCAATTTTCTAATCTTCTATCATCCACCAAGTGATCAAATAAATTTAAATTCCACAAAAAGATTGTCATTCAAATATGCTAAACTACTGCATTCAACTAAGAAAGTGGAAATAGTTTTTTTCCAGTGTGATGTTTCCCAAGTATATATATAATACATACAGAAAATAAACTAACAGCTTACCCCAAGCGTAAGCTCTCCCCTTATCATCAACGGCCAAACAATGCCACCCACCAATAGCTGCCTAGAATCAACAAAGAATAACATAAAAATTAAAATTCCATAGAAATAATATCTAAAAAATTTCACACACAAAAACAACCATACCTTATGGAAAAAAAAATTACCTGAACAATATTAACATTAGCAAGAGCCTTCACCGGGCTTGGAATATTCTCAGTTTTGGTCTCTGGAGGGTGCCCTAAGGTTCCTCTCTGGTTCCATCCCCATGTAAACAACTGAAGCTCAACCCAGAACACCAAGAAACAAATCAAGCTTCGAATGTTAAAACTCCAATTATACATGAAAAACGGAGATGTGCATATGCACAACTGTGTAGTAGTATATACATTTTTTATAACACCAAGAAATCAATCAAACCTCTGATAACCAAAGTAGACTACTTGAAAAGCAACCAAGACCTCTTTCAAACACCACTTCAACATGAAGACGGGAAAAATAAAAAAGGAGGAGAAAGGGGGAGTTGGGGAGTAGACCTTGCCATCATCACAGATAGCGAGGGAGTTACGGCTGCCAGCAACGACGGAGCGGACGTTGTGAGGCTCAAGAGCCTTAACAACGCAAACCCATTCTTTTTCTTCATTATTTCCAATTCCCAATTGACCATCTTCACCTGAGCCCCTGAGATAATTACAAACAAGAGAGAGAGAGAGGGAGAGACAGACAGACAGAGAATAGCAATAAGTCAATAAATTGGAAAGAGTTTTTAAATAATAAGGTAACAGAAAGAAAGGATTAAGAGTTGAAACCAAGCAATGACGGAGGAAGTGGAAGCCATGGAAGGGGAAAGACAGCTGAAAAATGGAAGAATAGTACTAGTTATGAGTAGTGGGGAGGGCTTAACTTTTTAAAGCAAATAAATGGAGTTACTTAGCTTTTCCTGCAAAATGCTACGACTAGGATTGTTGGATGTGTGCAAATTCGATTCGAACACGTGACACGCAGTTTTTAATTCTACTTTCTTTTAATGTACATAATATTTTTTAAAAAAATTATTTTTAATTTTTTCATGACATTATATCAAAGGTTTTTATTTTTATTTTAAATTAATTAGATTTTTATAATTTTTAAAAATAACTAATTATTTTTATATCCACATGTTGAGATGAAAAATAAAAAATGTGATGTGATCTTATTATCATTTTATATCAATATATTATATCATAATTTATTTTGATATATCAATATATATTATATGACTTAAAAAGATATAAGACATTTAATTAAATTTTAATTATAATTTTTTTATTTTATTTAATAAAAATAAAAAATTAATTAAATATAATAAAAAATATTTAAACTTTTTTAATTATTTTATCTATTACAATTGTACGGGTATTTATTCAATATTAAGGATAGCAATAACAATAACAAAAAAAACCCCTTGTACTGGACGGTTCCGTCCTTTCCAGTCCCGATTCCATGGACACAGATGCTTTGTTTGTTTGAAACTCAATCAGAGTAGAGTGGAGTTTTTAG